CTTTCAATTTAACTATATTAGCCAATTATTACTATGAGTACACATGCTTCATTTTCCTTCGACAAGCGTGATTAAGTGTTGTCTCTGATATTGATTAGGAGCTGTCAACTTGAGGAAAGGTGTATAGTAGGTCCATCCTCTTTTTCACAAAATCTGCGTCTTCTATACATTTTAGTGGTATCATAAACTTCTTGCATTATGTAAATCCACGACCACTTAATAATTTTTACGGAAAATAAAGGAAATGATTATGATAATAATTTCTTTAAGTTTACAGTGATCAGTACTTCTGTGTTACCTGCTTCATTCCTTTTGTATGTCCTTTCTGATTTTCGACCAGTTTTAGAAGCTCAATGGATAGTTTGTTAAAATATTTTGCTTTGTTTTTCCTTTTTTTTTTTATTTATTGCAGGTAAGACTTCTCGCAAAATATTATTGTCGTAGTCTATGACCACCTATAGCTGTTAAATCCGTTGCAACTTTTCCAAATACGTTGCTCATTAGACATTTGCATCCTCTCCAAAGCAAAGTAGCTTTTCCGTGTGGTTCACATTTAGTTCTATCCTTCCTTAAAATTTCATGTATCCTCATTTTGTTTTCTATGTTCAGTAAATTGTTTGTTTCTGTTCAATTTTCATTTATTTTCGTTTTTAACATTACTATAAAGCGTGTGAAAAGGTATTATTTTGATGAATATGTTTATTATAATTGAATAATATAATCGTTACATCTAGAAACCCATCCTAACATACCATTTTACAAATATACCGCAATTTAATAATAATAGTAATATAAATAATAAATAAAGTATGATTACACAAGTTAATTTTTAATTTTTCTATTATCCTATGGTCAAAAGATAAAAACCTAACACTGTTTTAAATTTTTCATATATTTATTAGTATTAAGATTGTAATTTAATTATACATGGTGTAAATGTGTTAATAATATATTTTTGTACGCTTGAATGATTGCGATCTGATAAGTATTCTAAACGAATAAAATAAATACGAACAAATCTAAATATGTGTTTTATTTATTGGAGGTAAGTCACATTGTTTGTTAAAATTGATATATAATTGTTGCGTATGAATTATCAGACAAAATAAGACAATATGAATTCAGTTCTAGATAATTGTTTTGATTCATGGACTATAAACACAGATGGACTCAGTTATTTACATAAAATTGTGTAGTCAAAATTATTTGAATAGGTCACATTCTCAGCACCTTCAACTGTTGTCACGTTTTATTTTAAAATTTCTTAGAAGCACTGAAAATTATTTATAAATGGCAACGGTTGTTTACATTTCTCTGTCTTATGGATCTACGTCAAACTTCAAATGCTATTCCATGTTTGTTTACTTTTACAGCGGATAAGGAAAAGTATATTTTCGATATTTTGGCTGTATTTTGAGTGATTTTTGTGAAAAGTGAAATAAAATAAACGAAATATTTACATCCCGATCTCTCATTTTCATTTGTAAGTACATACAATTTACATTATTTAAATGATGAAAATGAGGAAGCGTGTTTGTTTACATTTTAATAGGCGTACCATTGGGTTTATTCATGTTGATTAATGTATTGAATAAGATATGAGTTCATGAAATTAGTAGACATTTTTAAATTGTATGTAGACATCATTTTGATTAAAAAAGATCTGTTTAGTACCTTTTTAATTTAATATTTCTCATGGATACAAATAAATTAGTGAAATGAATAAAACTCATTTATTTTTCTATGTAGGTTTCCAAATAATATTGACGATCGAACTATTGGGTAGCAAATTTAGGAGAAAACATAAAGATTTTTTTATTGTAGCATTTATTTTGATATCTTTATAAAAATTAACTTTAATTCAGCTATATTTAAATGTATTAATTTTAAAGCAAATAAAATTGTATTTTAATTTTTCTATAAAGACGTGATTTGTTAATAGTTTTTTTAAACTCTCGTTTTTTTTTTAATTCGTTGAACGTGTTTTTTATACATTATTACTACTTCCAATTTTTAAAATCGGAATAATTACCCGCGAGTAATAATTCAAGCACGCTTATGCTCATTGCGGAAGCATCACATTCTATCGAAGCTTCAAAACATTGTGTGTTAAAGGTATCTTACTGCTGTGTTCATCTATGTTTATACGTCCATGTTTTGATCAGATGTTATATAAGACTCTACTTTTCTTGGCATATTCTCCAAACTTTTAAAAATATGCCTTTCATATGATAAAATCTGAACTATCAAAATGGCAAATTATTTAATATATCGCATGGGTTGTATTTTTCAAAAATTCTCTCAGATTCGATAGTAGACTGACTGACTTTATACATCTAAATGGCTATTGTATAGACACTCGAAAAAAAGTTGGACAGTAGGCGGTATTGTAGTAGCGCGAAGCTTCTACTATTATTTGATATTTTTAAAATGTAAATAATAAGGTACGTGTACCAAATAAGGCGCATCTAACAATTATTGCCTTTTTTATTTAATATAGTTAGGAGATAGGAGGTCGGGAAAAAATGTGTAACATGCTTCAGTTCTAGTAATATAAAAATGCAATACAAAAAAAATTATTTCGTAATTAGTATTATCATAATCAAATAAATTATTAACTTTTGGAGTAGGGCCTTCTTAGGAATCCATCTTCCAAATAACTCCCATACCTGGTCTCTAATATGGTCCACCCCAAAAACATTAATGTATGAAGCATGTTAATGGCAATAAAACTAATGACAAGATTTAGTAAATATTTAATGAACATTAATATAATTAAAAGATATAATATCACTTCTCACACCATGGACATACGAAATTCGGCAGTATGTCTTTGGATGTCAACCCTACACATTCTTCATTAACATATCTTTTGCATTTTTTGTAAAGTCCCATGTCAGCTGTTCTGTCTTCACAGCGTAAATGATAAAACCAGTTAACAGCTTCTGATGTTCCACTGCAGCTTGAAGCAGAACCGTCGTTTTCATTACTAGATTTCTTCCAGATGTTTTGTTTCGCCGGAATTTTCTTCTCTTTCCCAACTGTAACCTCCTCAGATGCATTATTTACTTTGGCACTCTGCTGCTTTTGATTTCAGCGAATAGTTCCTTAGTAACTACTTGCGCCTGTTAGTTTAGTGCCTTCCATCTAGGAGTTTTCTTTCTCAGCTCAGGAGTTTTCAAAATTTCTTGGAAGGAACAGTCGAGTTCGTCATGGTTGTCGCTATCGTCATCATCGCCATTAAGACTAACATCACATGAACTCCTTTTTCAGGAAGTCCTTTGTTCGGAAACTGTTGGAATCTTTGATGCTTCAGCAGGTTCAGAACCCATTCGTATGTTTTCTTCTGGATCAGGATGCCGTGAAGGATGGAAAGGAGCGAATGCACAGTCAGAAATAGATTCTGGATCAAAAGGATAAATCCCATTTGCTCAGAATCCAGAAATGACATTAACTGGGGACCCAGCTTTTGGCCATACCACAGAATAATAAACAATTGTTTATTATTCTGTGGCCATACTTTGCTAAGATTGTTTCTAAGATAACCAATACAAATTTTGTATTGGTTATTATGAAACTAATTGGTTGTTTGTAGGGTCAACTAATTGGCTACAAAAAATAGATTGTTTTTTCTACAAACACTTAATTGGTTTCACAATAATCTACAAACGATTATTCATTATTCAGCTAATAAAGTTCTTTCTTGAGTAATAATTAATCTGTAATAATTAATCTGGCACTCTACTGTCAGATGGCGCCATGGTCATTATAATTTAATTGTTTTTCACTTAATTATTTGACACTACAAAACAACTAATTGATTTAATAATAATCTACAAACGATTTCCTATCTAATACATTAGTTTTTATTTAAAAATTTGCATTTTTGTGTCATGCCCAAAAATAATTAATTAATTGTGAACTATATAAGAATTAATCGGCCTACAAAAAAACTGGACCTATAACAATTAACAATCATCGACTACGATGATAAGGATTACTAATCAGCTACACTTCATCTAATTTACATACGGATGTACGTCATCGGCGTCATAGACCGTGACGTCACATGATACCAACAAAAAATATTGTGGCGGTAGGTGTGTTCTTTTTTAGAATCACTTTGCCAAGTACACTGGCATTACAGCCACTAGACATATTTTATTATATACACGTAGAAATGATATTTAAAAATTTCTATTAATGTTAACTTAAAGAAATACACAATAATGTTTCATTTAATTTGTATAAATGCATTATAAAACGTTTTTATGAAGATAATTTGTTCGGAACACTCTGTAACTGTAATCGAACGAAGGTGAAATTTTGGCATAAATTGATAACACTTATTTGACAGTTGCGGCGTTGACACTTTTTGTACTTTATTATTTTGAATTTTACAGTGAATACCTGTTGTTTTATATTTTTACCTATTTAATAAAATCTGTCCTTGTTAAAACAAAATTAGTGTGTTTTATTTCAAAAATGTCACGTAAGAATTTAAATAGTCGTTGTAAAAAGATGGTAATACCACAGTATAGACAACATCTCGTTCGCGCAGACGTTCCGCCATGTTTTAGAGGGAACCAGTGTTGTTTTGTGGTGTGCACAGAAAAATTAACCCGGTTTAATTGACTTACGGCAATCATAGACATACTATACAATTATATTAACGTTGTTAAATATAATAACATAAATAATAATATAATTAAACATAAATATAGACAATTACATAACCTCACAAATCATATGTCTGTGTAATGTGTTTCCTTCTAAAACATGGCGCGCGTGCTGAAAAACTTCAAAGGCGGCATCTGAGAGTGGACATTCTGATTGTTTATTATTCTGTGGTAATACTTTTGCAATAATCATGTGATCTATTTGATTTAAAATGGAGTCAGGATTTTTTATATTTTGGCAACTATGTCATCTTCGATCTCTGACGTAGATAATGACGTACATCGTTATGTAAATTATATGAAGTATACCTCATTAGGATTATCTTATCAGAAATCAGACATATTTAGAATAACCTGTATATTTAAAATAAGTTTTACAGTATGAATTCTAAAAGCTCACAAAATTCAATCAATTTGTAGTTTTTTATTGGGGCTCTAACTAAATACTTACTCGATAAAAGTCCTCTGAGTCTGAGCTGAGCTACATTTTCTATTTTGGGGTTATAAAAGTGACATCTTGCATTGACATTAGAGTCGTAATTTGAAATAGTTTACTATTTATAAATTAAAAAGAATACAGCTGTGATAGAAAATTTCATGGTATTTAACATTAATAAATCTGCTTCAAAAATGTCAAACAAATTCGAAACGTAAGTAACATTCTCAATGCAATAACCTGTTTCAATATCCTTTGTTTATACTTTGACTACTGCAGATTGAAACACCATGTGGACGACGACAGTGGAAGTGGAGACGAAGATACAGGCCCAAATATCACTGATTTGGGCCCCATTGACTATCCTCCAGGAGAACACAGGCTGCAACATCCCTATTGTCTATGGTTTTCAAAAAGACCTCAACAAATACAAGGGTTACAGGTGCAATATTTTGTTTGGTTTAGATTTAAATTACTTCAAATATATGCTCATATTCATTAAAATATATTGATAATAGAGTTTATGTATTTCTACTGTTAAGAGGGATTGGAGGGTCTAATTTCAAACAACAAAGACCATTTCAAAGTAATTATCCATGACAAGTCAAATAAAGATGTTATTTCTATAGTATGGTCCATGTAATGTTTAACACTTACCTTTAGTTAATATACATATATTACTCATTTTAATACTTTAAATATTAAAATTGTGTTTTAGTAGTCTCAAAAATCTCCATGTGGATTGTAACATTTGATATCAGATTCATAAATTTATTATCAGTTTTTTCTTTATTTGTGTGTTATCAATAAAATTAATAATATTAACTACCATTTTAGGGATATAGTCAAGCATTGAGGTTGGTAGGGCAGGTGGGCACAGTAGAGCAATGGTGGGCCTTGTATTCGCATATGGTTAGACTACAAGATATACCAGCCCACAGAGACATACATCTTTTTAAAAAAGGTATAAAACCTATGTGGGAAGATGCAGCCAATAAAAAAGGAGGCAAATGGGTAAGATTTAATAACAATAATAAATTCTAAATTTTTTATTAGCCAAGTTCAGGTTGAACAATTAAATTTTTTTGTAATATCTTATTTAATACACACACACAAGCCCTAGCCACATTATGGAGCCCGGCTTGTTAAATTATTTACATGTTGAAAAAACTAATTATTCAACATTTTTGTAAATTTGCTATTATTAGATCTTGTTTTAATTCATATCTTCCTATGGTGGTCTACATATGGTCTAAATGTATAGTATAATCATATATACTGGATTTTTAACAGATTTTTACCAAATATCTTGTTTTAAGTCTACTAAAAAGCATATGTTATGTTGACTTTAATTAACATCATATTTTCTTGCCTTTATAATGTATTATCAGATACTGTCTTAACAAGATTTCTGAATTTTTATTAATTTTTTGCAGGTTATAAGACTTAGGAAAGAACAAGCAGGGAGGGCTTGGGAAAACTTATGTATGGCTATGTTAGGAGAACAGTTTATGGTAAATATTTTATTATTAAACAAAGAAAACCATCATAAAACTCTTAAAATGTAATTATGTAGTATTATTAGGACCTTATAACTATAGAGATTTGTGGTGGGAAAGAATCTACATAGATGGAATATTATAAAAGGCACTTTATTTAATACAGTGGAACCTCGATTATCCGTCAGGGCACTGAACCAAGGGTATGACACATAATCGAAAAGATGGTTAACAGAACATTAAAAAAATTCATAGTATAACTCAAATTTTATTTGTATGTTTTATTTGACAATATAAGAGGGATTTATGTTCTTAATCTACGAAAATCATTAATTCTACCTTATTTGCTTCTTCTTGCCGAGAATACCACTTGATAAATTGTTATATATGCGATGCAGCTCCTCTAGCTTCTTTACGCAAATCTTTGTGAGTTGTAATAGCATCATCAACATCGCCACCATCAAAGTCGGCTTCTGAATCAGTTTCGTCCGCCTCTGTTGCCATTTCAATGATTTTATCATCTGTCAGCAATCGATAGCTGTTTGCGTCCTCATCACAAATTAACCATTCGTTTATGTCATCTTTAGGCAACGAAAACAAAACAGTTGATTCAGCCATAACTTCATTTAAGGGAAGCATTGTCATCTTAAGTTGATTCAAGCCATAATTTATTCCAGGCTCTTTTCAGTGTTACTTCTGAAACATCAGCCCAAGTATCCACAACATTGTCGACTGCATGTTTTAAATTGTATGCTTTCCAGCATTCTGGCTAAGAATATTACTCTTCCATAACTAGGTTTTAAATAAATTTTTTTTCCTGTATCTTCTTTTGAATGTGTTATGACCTAATGATCCATTGATTGTATCAATGATGTATTATCAGGCAGAAAAGAATATGTGATATTTTTATCGTCACTCCGCAGCAAACCGGCTTTAGAATGGGCAGGTGCATTATCCAAAATGAGAATCATCTTTGGTGGAAATTTTTTTGCAAACTGAATTTTGCAATTTTGCAAATTATATTATAAAACAGTTTGGAAACCCCCTCTAAACATCTAGAAAAAAATATGAAAAAGTTTTAAACCGTTTTGGAGAAATATTAAAAAATTCGGTTTTATTTTATAACTTTAACACCCTGTAACTTTTCTGGGTACACCTTTGGGTATAGGTAAGCTAGGTCAAATCGACTTATTTTCATCCCTAAAAATCGTGGTATAATTATTTATGACCAATTGTTTTGTGACACCCTGTATATCAAGGACCTATATCATATTTTCAAATATCTTTTTAGGCTGGTAATGAAATATGTGGAGTAGTTGTATCGACGCGATATCAGGAATACCTCCTAAGTATTTGGAATCGGACAGCTTCAGATCAAGCAACCACAGCTAGAATAAGAGATGCCTTAAAACGACTGTTAAATATACCTTCTGGTGCCACCATGGAGTACAAAACACACAATGATTGTCTCAAATACGGGTTAGTATTTTGTATACATTCCTGATTTTTTTATTATTGTAATTTATTTATCAATTAGCATTAGGGCCTGTCCCAGATCGAGATGAATACATGTACTTAAGCATTAACAAACCGAATGATAAGCATTTGTTTAAAAATAAGACTTAAAATGTTCTCAGAGAATACAATCTTCCATTTCACCACATATTAACCTTCAGTCGGACGCAATACAAATAATAAAACATTCTGGCGTATCTTTAACAAACTGAACTATTCATTCATTCAAAATATGCTCCATCTAATTCCTGACAGTAATGATTCCTCTTGCTATAAACTCTTGTCAAACATTGTTGTGCAATTCATCTACCAAGATATTGAAATCGTAGGCTTCCACGGCCAGAGTCAGAATTATAGTTTATTCATCTTCCGGGTTTGGACCGTGTCATTTGTGAGTGACCCAAAAGTGGGTTCATCTCGACGTTTCGCTACAATTGTATGTAGCTTCTCAGGAGAACAAAGAAAAATAAATCAAAAGACAGGAAGATGGGTACTTAGCAACGGTAACTCAGTTACTCAATGCAACCAGAGGCGAATACTAACTAGTCTAGCTAATTCGTATAGAATTCACTCTCCGCCTCTCGACGCGTTAGTGTTCTGAGCTGTTGAACGTGAATCCCTGTCCTGGCATTTGGTTTTCACCTCTGGCTGCGTTGAGTAGTTGAGTTACTGTGACCAAATGCCCATCTTGGTAGTTAGTATTCGCCTCTGGTTGCGTTGAGTAACTGAGTTACCGTTGCTAACTACCCATCTTCCTGTCTTTTGATTTCTTTTTCTTTGTTGTCCTGAAGAAGCTACATACAATTGTAGCGAAACGTCGAGATGAACCCACTTTTGGGTCACTCACAAATGACACGGTCCAAACCCGGAAGACGAATAAACTATAATACCAAGATATTCTTCATCTAGGTAACATCTTACATAATAGTGTGCAAGAGTACCATCTTGTTAAAACGTTATTTCCACGTTGCCGCTTATCTTCCAGAATCTTATGAATTAACAGCTCAATTGCGTTTTATATCATCTCCAGATACACTTCAGCAGTTAAGTTAGTATTGAGAAAAACAGGCCCAACTATGCAGTTTTCCAAAATATCTGTCCAAATATTTACTTTTTCTGGAAATTGAGTATGATTTTCACGAAACATGTGAGGATTTGTGTCACTCCAATACCTCATATTGTATGTGTTAATATTTCCATTGAGCGAAAAAGTACTTTCGTCACTAAAATAAATTGTTTTTATGTAATCTGCCTGTTTGTTTTTAGTGAACTTTGACTCATTTCACAGATAGATCTAAGCTGGGCTGTAGAAGAAGTAGGGTTCACTACCATGTCTGCAATTGTCATTTTTTGGCATCACTAATTGTTGGTCGACAAGATCGTTTGGCATCTTGAACACTACCTGTTTCTTCAAACTTCTGAAAAAGCTCCCTCAAATAAGTCTTCAATATAGGGCGATCGGGGTACATCTCATTGAAATTGTTTCTGATTCACCAATTATTAAGACAGCTGCTACTTTGTCGGCTACAGTATGTACCATTTTGCCTGTGTAGCTTTTACTGATTCCACAGATAGACGCAACTTGGATCATAGATTTTATTATTAAATTTTTTGGTGTTAATGTCTTATGTAGCGAAAAATGTTCCAAGGGACAATTCCTTGAAATGTGTAATAATTATTCAGTGGTTCTTACATACATAAATACCTGTCATTAAAGCAACACATGTCTGCACTTTACTCAAATTTATTAAAAATTGTCCATTTTCTGTTGCAATTTTTTAAAACTTTATAAATGTCTTCTTGCTTTTGATGATTTATAACTTGTTTTTATAACTTTACAAAAGTATGGGAATTCGGGATGGAACGGGGTACCTAAGTTTGATAGTAATTTGTGCGATATTTAATGAAACTACACCATCATTTGACAAATCTTATGTTTATTTATTTATTTCTTTACAAGGCAAATATAGCTAGTTATAAAAAACAAACGTTTCTGAGAAAAATGTGCATTACAAAAATAAAGGGAAATTTCCCATTCTGCCCCACCCCCCGGATCACAATGGGGTGCCCCACACTATAGCTAATATCATTGGCAAAGTTCACAGACTAGAACGCTTTCATCATCGTCACTGTCTAAACCAGCACATGCTAGATGTGCTCATTTCTTACAAATGCTACAAGAACACCAGCCTTCATTGGACTTAGAGTAGTAATCATGGCAATACAAACAGGCCGTATCTTCTTCTTCTGCGCTATCTTCGGATTCAGTTTCAGATATTTTTTGTTTCTTTGCCTTAGTTTTAACCTGTTTGTTCGTATTTTCTTTCCTTTTTCGTTGAGTTTCAATTTCTCTGGGTTTGTTTTCATCATTTTTAAACATTAATCTCTGTTTGATTTTTTTTTCTCTTTAGCTTCATTTATAGTTACAGCTATGATGAAACTGATAGCAATTTAGAAAAAATCTAGCATAACAATACACACAAAACTAAGGCTAGTAAGGGCACTTATTTTTTCCCATAGCCACATATGCATCCGAAACGTGGACCTTAAAGAAAGCTCTCCGTATGACGCTTTTGAAATGTGGGTATACCGCCGCATGTTGAGAATATGCCTATAAGGAAAGAGGCCTAGGGGAAGATCTCCAAGCCGTTGGGTAGATCAAACAAAAATATTGATTAACCAAGGGTTACATGAAGTCGAACAACAGCCCAGCGGACAGGGAATAATGGAGGGAAATCGTGAAAAAACTGTAAAGGTCTGATGGTGTCACCACATTCCAAAAGGGATTAGGACTGAGGAGGAGGATAGCTTGCATCTTTTTTAAAGATTCTTCCAGTTCAACCTTATAAGGTGAGGCGGTAAGGACAGCAGTCTTTCCACGCTTTTTACAGCTCTTTTTGTTCCGGCTTTAACTTTTGGCAACGGAATTAGGTCTCTTGGCGACGTGACTGAAAAATGTGTGTCGGCATTAGTACGAACAGGGGAATCGGGCATCCAAGAACTTCCGGGTTTCGATTCACTGGTGGGGGAAGATTTTCGTCAATTGTCGGTACGGATGGATTATTTTTGACAGGATTATCAACTACGGGTGTGGGATGAACATGGGGTGAGAAGAAATGCTTCTGTACTGGTGTAGTTGGCGTTGAGTAAGTTTTCTCTGGCATAGCCGGCTATGTTTCCTGGATTGTACTGCCAACAAGATTTTCCAAGGGAATCTCTATTGTTGCTGATGGTAGAAAGTCATCATCGGTGAATTTAATTATATTGGATAGCCAGATACAAGATTGTTTAAAGCCATTAATGACAGTTCTCATATTTGCTGCACTTAAGAAAGCTTGGCCAAAAAGTGTTGATATGTCGAAAAGCTGAACCACTCTCCCTGGATGCGACCTGAGCCACTTCCTTATTTCATCCTCATAATACAAGCTTAAGGGCTTCATGAATGCAACGTCCAATGGTTGAATTTTGTGAGAGCAATGAGGAGGGAAGCACAATATTAACACACCATTGTCACGTGCTAGATCTATTGCGGCCAAGTTCTTTGTGTGAGACGTATGCTCGTCAAAAAGTAACAGAACTGGTTGTTCTTTCGTCGCTTTAGAAAACAGAATGAACTGTTGTAGCCATTTTACGAAAATCTCTGCAGTTATCCAACCAGAGGTCGCTAAGTTCAGCCCAGCCTCCTGGTGGGAGACCTGTTTCAAATTCACGTTGTTTCTTTTTTCGCGGAAATATTAACATTGGGGCATGTAACATCTGGCAACTGAGCAACATATTTCGGCTGTGACAGTGGTGCCTCTTTCAGTAGAACTTAAGACACCTACTTGACGTTGTCCTCAACAGCTATTATTTTCGAAAACTGCTTGGGACCCACGCTAATACCCGTTTCATCACAGTTGAAAATTCTAATGGCATCTATTAATTCGTGCTTGTCCAGAATTTCATTAAGCAGATTAAAAAAATTCGATACTGCTACTCTATTGAATCCCATAGCCAGTGCTCCAGAAGTTGCTTCGGTTTTTCTTAAGCTTAAATCAGGGTAACGTTTGAAAAAACCTTTACACCAGTCTTCTCCTGCCATTTCCGATGTTCTGTTGAAGTTATGGTTGCAGTTATTCTTTTCTGCTAGCTGGTATGCTAGTGGGCGAAACTCTTTCATAGTCATGCCGAACAGTTGTTTTGCATATCTTTCAGATAAACGACAAGCTCAAGCTCTTGCTCAATAGTGAAAACAGTTTTATACTTTCCTGACGTTTTATCAATGACAGCGTCTGGATTCTCCCGTCTTTTCTGAACATATCACTCCAGCGTTGATGATAGGACACCAAAAACGATTAGACGCAACCACATATCCTATTTGTCCACTGATAACCGCATCTACAGCTTGCTTCATAACATCGGTAGATCATGACTGCCGGGTGGTTTTCTTTTTATAGTTACGTACCATCTGCGATCAATAAAAAATATAATCAATACGAGAATTTCAAATGAGAAAATACGAGAAAAATATTTATCAATACTAAATATAATTGGGGGCGGAATGGGGTATACCCACCTATTGTGCCCCAGACAACCGTTCCCAGAAACGTTAGTGTTATAATAGGTTATGTTTATTGGATGCGAGTCATTACTACAGTTTTAGAGAGCTAAAAGTATATTGAAACAAACATGTAAGGTTTAATTTCGAAAAAAAGAATAGTAAACAGTATAATTACCTTAGCAACACAACGAAACAATTAGAATTTACAGGTTTCTTCATTGATCTCCGATAAAACACCAACCATGCGTATCTCCAGACTGACAACGACTACTTCATATGACTCGACGTGACGAACTAAGCGTTTTGTGTGATATTCGCGCGTTTCTGTCGTTTGTCGGTTTCCCATTCTGGAACCCCCGGATTTCCCCGGAACCCCGTTCCACGAGAGGTTCCCCTAACTGGCAAAGTATATGCAACTAATTGCTCTGTGAATTCAGAGGGGATGAAGCTCTTCCCATTTTTAAGCATTTTGCCACTGCGCAGGCTCAACTCGCTTCTCTTCACTATCTTGGATTAGTGTACTAAAAACTAAAGCAACAGTACATTTTACCAATAGAAATATGATTGATTCAATTGGTAGGAAAATAATAAAAATACAATAATTTTGACAAGATGGAACTTTTCCTCTTGTTTATCTAGTCCTATTCCCGTATAACTGATTCTGTAAAATTGTTCTGCAATATACTTTAGTTATTATCTTGTTTATCTTAATATTTTATTATTATATTTTATAACTAATTTATCTTTTCTTGTTTTAGGGCTACAAAAACAATACCAAACAATTTGTTAAAAAGCTGACCCCGTAAAAAATTTTAGAAAATTATGATTTTACTGTTTACTGAAATCTGTATTGAAAAAAAAATAATAATTAAGATAAACTTCATTAATGTTAAAACGTCTTTTATTTGCCGATTTATTATAATACCCTTAGAGTTCATATAGAAGGCTGCATAAATCATGTATGCCCTATTGAATTATCTTCTATACAGTGCTAGCCAAAAGGTCCCTCCCCTCGTATCTTTTGAACATATGTATAAAAGTGAAATTTGGAAAGAGAAAATAAACAGACGTAGATTTCTGAACTAGCCATAACAATAATATTATATGGAACCTTATGACAAGTGATATTTCGTTTGAAAGGTATTGAACATATATATATTCAATCATACTAATCAAAATACCTGCCAAAACATTTACTTTTATTGGACACTGAGTAAGAGTTTTCTACAAAACACGTGAGGATTTGGTCACTCCAATACCTCAGATTGTGTTTGTTAACATTTCCATTAAGGAAAAAAGTACTTTCGTCATTAAAATAAATTGTTTTAATGTAATCTGGCTGTTTGGTTTTAGTGAACTTTGACTCATTCCACAGATAGATCTTAGTTGGGCTGTAGAAGAAGTAGGATTCACTACCATGTCTGCAATTGTCATTTTTTGGCATCATTAATTGTTGGTCGACCAGATCGTTTGGCATCTTGAAAACTACCTGTTTCTTCAAACTTCTGAAAAAGCTCCATCAAATAAGTCCTCAATATAGGGCGATCGGGGTACATCTCATTGAAATTGTTTCTAATTCACCAATTATTAAGACAGCTGCTACTTTTTCGGCTACAGTATGTACAATTCTGCCTGTGTAAACAATTAAACGTGTCGTTAAATAATAATTAAACTAAACGTTCAAGATATAAACTGCAAAAACTTGAGACGGCGTTAGAATCTTTAATTAAATGCGAAACTATAATTTTAGTTTTTATTTAATTTATTATATAGTATTTTCATGTTCTTTTGAACTCATAAACACAAAAATCCAAAAGTTTGGTTCCTTCGGGATGTCTTCAATGTTTTTTTTATTTTTAATTTATTAGATGAAATTAGTTCAACTGCCCATCTTATGAAATGTCGACTGTTACTACTTGGGCACCTATTATTTCTTCTTTTCGATGTAATAATGCTGGAGAAAAAATTCATTATTTGGCAGAGCAAATGCAGGCTCTTTTCAATGTTAAGTAGTTATAATTCTGATTTACAAATATAAAGCGGATCATTCAAATCATCCTATTGACCCTTCATTTTATACTATTTAATCCTAATTTATTATTTACGGAATTTTTCAATATGTAAGACTCAAAATACTACTTGTAACACTACACTGGGGATTAGGTGTTTAATTCAACAAAGCCATAGCAGCTTTTGCTAAAGATTTAATCTTTTAAACATTTCGTATAGCCCAGAGGACAGAAAACGATATTAAATCGTTTTCGTTCGTACGCTAACCATTGTAGTGGTCAAGTTTTAGGAGACATTCGTTGAACTTTCCGAGTTTGAATTTGTATCAGCTCAAGTGTCCGATGAAGCAGGGATGCTGAAATGATATATAACACTCTATTGACACCGATGATTCGAGTACAGGAAGTTTAACGAATTTGTCCTCTTAGGCCATTTCATTAAAAAAGAAGATTTTGGAGCCAATATCAAGCGGTCTTACTCTGTGTAGCTGCTTTTATACTGTCAGTATGCGCGGAAGCCGGAAACGTGATGTCTAAGGTCTGAGCGTGATGAGTTGGGGTGGGGGGTCGCTGAAGTATCGGTCGCCATGTTGCCAGCAGTCGTTTAGCGTATTTAACCTGTTCGATCGTTTTTCAATTTCGATGGCTTCACGAATTATTCTCGATTTTAAGTAGCGGATGGGAACGATGGTTTTTGCTTTTTTGAAATCTATTTTGTGACCTGTCTGAATATGATGTTGGGCTAGGGCTGAAGCAGTATCGGAATGTTTGATAGATATAGAATGTTTGTAATACGGTTATGGATTCGTCGAATGTCTGTCCTATGTATGTACGTGGGCAACTGGAACAAAGTATCTCGTATACACCCTTGGTGTTAATTGGGGATTTAGTATTTTATAGATCTGACGAGACTGAACAACTTGGAGTGAGTAGTGAAGATGGTTTTAATGTTTAGAGGGCAGAGTTCTACTGATCTTGTCAGTAACACCTTTAATAAAAGGTAGAAAGATTTTGGGTTGATCTAGCGGCAAGGTTTCTTTTTGGATGGAGTGGGGTTTAGATGTTTTTGAATGCTCCTATTGATTTGATTAGAGTAAGACTACACAATAAGACCGGTCGTCACTCGACACTGAGGAGTAGGCATTTTTCCGGGTTTGATTCAGCGTTTAATCACCTCGGTTAAAAAAAACTACCGTTTTGATGACGTTTCGGCATGATCACACTTTCCATTGTCAAATCAGATTACTTCCGCTTCTTGTAGATGTTCGAACCGAGGTGGCGATCAGTTTTCTTAGGTTGTTATAATGAATGATACTATACATTGTTAAGTTTCAAGATAAGCTCGAGGTAAACGGTGATCGGTGGGTGTGTAGTGTCATCTCAGCTTGCCATTGATTAGAAATTAAATGCTAACCAATTACACTGTGCTACGACACATCTACCGATCACAGGTCTGAAACTATTTATCTAATGCTTATCTTGAAATTGAAAGAAGATATAGTAATGGTGGTAATGAACGGTTCTGGGTACATCACAGTACTGGTCAAACTTTTAAAACTGTTCCTTGATAGAAAACTTACGAACCTTTTTCTGTAAACCAAAAACATTTTTCTGTAACATAGAAAAACCAAAATGTCATTATGTTTCTGATATATACTTCAATAAAAAGGTACGCCAATGTCAAACTTGTAGATCATCTGACTCTTCCATTCTGGTATAACCCGACAAGCGAGAGCTGGCGGGTTGCGCGTAGAAGAAATTGAAAAGTGTTCACCGTTTAAGTCATGTACATCGTGTATAACCGTTTAAGTACCTATACTATATACCTATAATCGCGATTAAGTACCTCTCCTATCTCTCTTAGAATAATTCCTTTTCTATTTTCGAGCAGGTCACCCGCCAGCTCTCGCTTGTCGGATTATAAACACTTTGAAAGCGAACACTCTTTTCTTTTTTATATTCTAAGCTCTAAACTTGCTGTGAGGTATGTCAATATTGCTCCTGTAATTCCCAAAATCCACATTGAAACGCACAAGTTTAGGCTGGTTCCACACATGGGGACCAACGTTTGCCCCAACAGTGTTTGCCCAATGTGCCCGTGTGTAGCGACAAAACTGTGTTGGAGCCAATGTTTTTATGACTTGCTCCAACGTTGGAAGTTTTCTGTGGGCTGTCGGTTTTTGCGCCAATACTGGTGTTACCGTTGATGCCGATTACACATTGGCGCTACAGCAGTGTTCCAATGGGCGTATAATTATGTTATTTGCGCATAATTTAGTTGTTGGCGCGTAATTTTCTCATCCTGCATAAAATTAGATACTTAATTTTGCACAATCTAGCAAAGCAAAAGAAAATAAACCAATGATAAACCACAATTTATAAAAAGAGTCCTCGTCTTCTTTTTTCTTTTAAAACGATTGTGCTGCCATTTTACACAGCATTATTTTTAGAAAATAAAAATTACTTTATCGAAGAAAATTTACATTCCATGATGGCATTAAAAAACAAATTTACATGTAAAAATCGATCTTCGGCCACCTGAGCCACCTCCGTTCAGTTGTTTAAGATTAACACTCCGATACACGTCGGTGGTCTATCTGAACGGGGTTTATGCTCGAAAGGTCTATTTCTTACATAAATAAATAATATACATATCTGTTTTTTTTTTCGGTACCTTTCAGGCACCCAAAAAATGTATCTTAATATTTTACAAAAGTATATGCTATTAATTCTGAAATATAGATAATTTTATCCTAATCCGTGCTAAGATCACTGTCATGTGGTCATGTAACTTTTAAAATATGTATTTCCATATATCGGCCGTGGATTGAAGTTACATTTAATGCAGAATATAGCCAGAATAGAAGGCTAAGAAATTTGGGAATTGAGTTAATAAAAGGAAAAGTGTAATTCAGAGCCTCGACGTCAGGTTTACATTCATATATTCATACTGCAGTTCCCAAATACAGCATATCTAAAGATCTAGTAGCTTTAAGTAACACTGTAGACAAATGAAGTAAAATTCAGCTGACAGTCACAGCCGCTGCAATTTCCATGTTGGACATGTTGACGTTGGCTCTAAAGGGAACAGACTGATATCGCTCCAATACTCAACCCAATGTGTGGATGCCTCACCGAACGTGGGAACACAGTTGATCCAACATTGGATCCCATATGTGGAGCCGGCTTTATACGAAAAAGTCCTATAAATAATAATAAACCATTCGCATAACCAATCTTAGTTGCTAATATTCGTCTAGTTTAAAAATAATAAGTAAACAAAAATTTCATTTTATGATTTAATAATTACTTTCAAGTTACACTATTTATTTGCTGATATATTAAAATGTTTTTTAACATATAGTTTGTTCTAATCCATATAAATAGCTATAATTTTAAATATGTGCTTTGAATGTACAATTAACACCATCTAAAAAAAGAAATATTTGTCCCACGCGGAACACAACAAAATATTTTAAGAATATAAGTTATGCTTCTGTAATATTATCAATATTGTGACAAATGCTTTTATCAAGTATAAAATATAAATCCCAAAATATATACATATAAATGAATTTCACGCATATGAGAACAGAACTGTTTTGGTAATGAGTAGGTGATACTCTAAATTATTATTTACATTTTGAGTTATTTAAAAAATAGCTTGAGCATGTAAATTATGAAAATTCTAGAGCATTCATATAATTACAAATATAGATTCAGGAAAAAATAGTGCTCCAACAATATTACTTTTTCTACTCACTTATTGATCTTACAAAACTTCATGAACCTGACTCACTTATTTGGTGACGTCAATCTACGAACGAAACTATCAGATCCGACATTACTGAACACATTTAACTGTCTGCAGTGCGTTTTCACA